CTGTTTTTTTATTCACATGTGTACTTGAATTTTAAAATCATGTTCTGGTGAATGTTTTAACGTACCTGCATGTAGATTTTTTTGTCAAGGCTTACTAAGATTTTTTACTGTTCCCGATTACTTTGTGATTTTCATATGTCATAAGATGGCATCATATGTTTTCGTATGAAGTAAAAAATTGGATCAGTATACGGACAGGAAATGACAATAAAAATCCAGAAATGAGTGTTTTCTAAAGTCGTGGTTCTGACGATTGTTTGAATCATAAAAAAAAATTATTTAATACTTTTCAGTACTAAAAATAGCTAAATAGCTTTTGGTTGATGTTTCATGTGCTGAAATTGTAACATTGTGATTTTTTTCAGATTGGCACTGGGTTTCTACAAAAGTCATTATTTTTTTTATAAATTTAAATGCAGTTTTTCAAAGTTTAAATGTAAAAAGTTAAGACTGTTTTCATCTTTATGTATAAAGGTTACATATAACCATTTTATATAAGAACCATATTAATTCAAACTCGCTGGTTTGTAATAAGTACGACAAAAAACCATATGACAGTCATGTGACTTGAAGATCAAGTGTCTGACAGGCAGATGAAATAGTTGTACTTCATGCAACCCTTTGATAAGTTTGATTTAATTTGTTCTTACGTCTTTAATAGCCACTTTGAATATGTTTGACATTTGTCACGTTGTAGTGTTGTTGTTGTTCCAAATATAGAAACCAAAAAACCATCACACTTTAAGCTTGCGCAATCGAAACCGATGAAATATGGATGATACGAAAACATGACACGACGATACTTGTTAAGTAGACGCAACACAAAAAGCTTTATTTCAAGTCTGTATACATACAAAGCAAATACAAACATAAGTTCTGGAGTGATTTTAAAACCAACAAAAGCAGATGAGATACAACGCTTTACTAAACGATCCGCTGTGTAAGATGAAGTGGTTTCAAAAGGAAGTTATAAATCTAATTTAATGTAATTTTTTTTAGGTTCTCCTTCGGGAACAGTTGTCAAATTTTACATAGACGTAAAGTCCATGGAAAGAGTTTTTAGAGTAGGGTAAATAAACAGACCTATCGGGGAATTCGGAAATGTACATGTGGAACCGGACTGCTGTAAGTACAGACTACAGGGAAAACGGTACTATTACATTTTCCCAGCATTAGGTTGGTCTTTTGTGTACCCAAGGCAGGTGAAGGAAGTCAACTTAGGAGCGCTGTGATTGGATGTTAGGGTACAATATATTTTTTTATTTATCTATGAATAACTGCAGTGTGTATATTTACAATATAAATTTTGAAACCTATTGAAATATTTTCTAGAGAATTATTCGAAAAGACTTCAAAAATTTCATAAATTTGGTGTAAAATGACGGTGGGCATGGATAACATTAACAAGCTCCATTGGAAGTTGGTCATGATACTATTTGGCTTCAATTTTCAAAACAGAATAATAAAGTACTAACACACACATAACTGTTTTATCGGGGTTTTTATTATAAAAAGTGGTAAATTTAGAAAATGTTAGTATTGTCGCCTATGGCAGAATAAATAGTACCGTTTTCCCTATACCGAAGATAGCAAGGGAAATCAAAATCAATCCGACTTCAGTTAAAGTATACTATTTTGAAGCTTTTGGTTAGTACATTTGATTTTTATCACAAAGAATAGAATTTTTTCACTGAGAACAATACTGTGTTGAGAAAAGTGCTGAGTCATCATAATAAGTCAAATTCATGGGTACTGATATAAAACTTTATTCTAGGATTTCAATATTAACTATATTGTATAAAATGCACCAAACTATAGTTCTTTTGTATTTGTTTTCACCTTTCGCAATGATTAATTCAATTGGAAACACCAGAATTCAAGTCGCGACAAATATTTTTAACTGGAATATTTGCCTTTTTTGCTGTGTAATTCCCTAAATGTATCACTTGGGTATTTCTGTAGACATAATCTATTCAAATAGGAAATTGTCTGGTTAAGTTTGTACTGTTTATGGAGTAAGGCAACATTTGGTCATACTAGAAGCATTTTCAGTGTTAAAATTGTCCATCTAAGAAAAAAAGAGGCCCACTTGAGGCTAAATTTAGATAGAATTTTATACTCTCCTGTGTAAAGAATTGGTCATATTCTTGGCAATTCATGCAGCAAATAATTCAATAGTGCTTCATTTTGTAGTTTCTATCTTTTAATATATCAGGCATATATAATTTTTCATTTTCTACTGTTTGAAAGGACTTTTGTTGGAAATTAATACTCCCAAGGGACATAATTCAGCTTTTTCATAGATTAATACAGGCAACAAAGGCAACTTTACAGCTGAGTATTTTGCATATTTAATGTTGAAAGTGTCTAATATCTTTGTTCTCATCATCTCAAGACAGAATAATGGATTTTATAACAAGCTCTCAAAATTTGAACCACAATATGGCATATACTAAAGCATGGAATGGAGATTAGTATGAAAAATCTTGAGTTTGTGCTTATGTTGTAAATTTTGGATGAAATGAATACAAATTGAATGGAAATGTTATTTTTATCTGTTTAAATGGAACTGTTTATTATTCTTTATAGATAAGATAAGATATGATTGGATACAGGTTGTTTATTAAGCCTTATCTGAAAGAAGTAGAGAAAGAGGTAAACCAGCATGTAGGGGTGGGGACATTAAATGATCCATGTTTCTTTAAGTAATGGGAACATACAAGTATTTATTATAGCCAAGATTTTCACAATAACCCAGTATTGCATTAATGGTGTCAAAAGAATTCTTTATATCTTTATGTCACAGTATAGGGAAAACGGTACTATTACATTTTCCCAGCATTAGGTTGGTCTTTTGTGTACCCAAGGCAGGTGAAGGAAGTCAACTTAGGAGCGCTGTGATTGGATGTTAGGGTACAATATATTTTTTTATTTATCTATGAATAACTGCAGTGTGTATATTTACAATATAAATTTTGAAACCTATTGAAATATTTTCTAGAGAATTATTCGAAAAGACTTCAAAAATTTCATAAATTTGGTGTAAAATGACGGTGGGCATGGATAACATTAACAAGCTCCATTGGAAGTTGGTCATGATACTATTTGGCTTCAATTTTCAAAACAGAATAATAAAGTACTAACACCACACATAACTGTTTTATCGGGGTTTTTATTATAAAAAGTGGTAAATTTAGAAAATGTTAGTATTGTCGCCTATGGCAGAATAAATAGTACCGTTTTCCCTATACCGAAGATAGCAAGGGAAATCAAAATCAATCCGACTTCAGTTAAAGTATACTATTTTGAAGCTTTTGGTTAGTACATTTGATTTTTATCACAAAGAATAGAATTTTTTCACTGAGAACAATACTGTGTTGAGAAAAGTGCTGAGTCATCATAATAAGTCAAATTCATGGGTACTGATATAAAACTTTATTCTAGGATTTCAATATTAACTATATTGTATAAAATGCACCAAACTATAGTTCTTTTGTATTTGTTTTCACCTTTCGCAATGATTAATTCAATTGGAAACACCAGAATTCAAGTCGCGACAAATATTTTTAACTGGAATATTTGCCTTTTTTGCTGTGTAATTCCCTAAATGTATCACTTGGGTATTTCTGTAGACATAATCTATTCAAATAGGAAATTGTCTGGTTAAGTTTGTACTGTTTATGGAGTAAGGCAACATTTGGTCATACTAGAAGCATTTTCAGTGTTAAAATTGTCCATCTAAGAAAAAAAGAGGCCCACTTGAGGCTAAATTTAGATAGAATTTTATACTCTCCTGTGTAAAGAATTGGTCATATTCTTGGCAATTCATGCAGCAAATAATTCAATAGTGCTTCATTTTGTAGTTTCTATCTTTTATTATATCAGGCATATATAATTTTTCATTTTCTACTGTTTGAAAGGACTTTTGTTGGAAATTAATACTCCCAAGGGACATAATTCAGCTTTTTCATAGATTAATACAGGCAACAAAGGCAACTTTACAGCTGAGTATTTTGCATATTTAATGTTGAAAGTGTCTAATATCTTTGTTCTCATCATCTCAAGACAGAATAATGGATTTTATAACAAGCTCTCAAAATTTGAACCACAATATGGCATATACTAAAGCATGGAATGGAGATTAGTATGAAAAATCTTGAGTTTGTGCTTATGTTGTAAATTTTGGATGAAATGAATACAAATTGAATGGAACTGTTATTTTTATCTGTTTAAATGGAACTGTTTATTATTCTTTATAGATAAGATAAGATATGATTGGATACAGGTTGTTTATTAAGCCTTATCTGAAAGAAGTAGAGAAAGAGGTAAACCAGCATGTAGGGGTGGGGACATTAAATGATCCATGTTTCTTTAAGTAATGGGAACATACAAGTATTTATTATAGCCAAGATTTTCACAATAACCCAGTATTGCATTAATGGTGTCAAAAGAATTCTTTATATCTTTATGTCACAGTATAGGGAAAACGGTACTATTACATTTTCCCAGCATTAGGTTGGTCTTTTGTGTACCCAAGGCAGGTGAAGGAAGTCAACTTAGGAGCGCTGTGATTGGATGTTAGGGTACAATATATTTTTTTATTTATCTATGAATAACTGCAGTGTGTATATTTACAATATAAATTTTGAAACCTATTGAAATATTTTCTAGAGAATTATTCGAAAAGACTTCAAAAATTTCATAAATTTGGTGTAAAATGACGGTGGGCATGGATAACATTAACAAGCTCCATTGGAAGTTGGTCATGATACTATTTGGCTTCAATTTTCAAAACAGAATAATAAAGTACTAACACCACACATAACTGTTTTATCGGGGTTTTTATTATAAAAAGTGGTAAATTTAGAAAATGTTAGTATTGTCGCCTATGGCAGAATAAATAGTACCGTTTTCCCTACAGCTGCTTATTACCGGTTACGGTTTGACTTGGTACCATGATACATCATGTAGGTTTAATTTTGATCGTATTTGATTAATACCTTTGTGTTATTATAAAAAGTGATATGGTAAACAAATCATATATGATATAAACGATTTTGGATGTGCGTTGCTGTTGTTTACAAATTTTGCCAACTTGTCACTTGTTGGTACCACGTTTTTAAATAGAGCGATACACAAAAAGTTTAACCGTTATTCTCGTACCAGTTTCATATATAGTCTCAAAAAGAAAAGGCAAAGATTGATTTTGTTTACATTCAAAAATAATAATTTTGAAATTTTTTCTTCACTGTTTTGATAATTATTTTAAGAATTTATTCATTGTTGTAAAATTTATTGATATTTCAAAAGGTAAAAAAATAAAATTGATAGAGATTATTTCAAAGATGTCTGCGCCCGTGTACACATGAATTGAGGGCCTGCATTTAGTAGATTAGAAGGTTTACTCTTAAATTTTGACATTAAATGGCGTCAAAAGAGTTATTAGGAGTCGAATTTAGCAAAAATGGTAACAATTTAAACATTTCTAATGAAGGTTCATCATAACAAATGGACAAAAATGGCTGTGTTTACAAATTACACCTAAAAAAGTAGTCCATGGGCATGACTGTGAGTGCAGACGACAGGGGGAGCGTCTTTTTACCACAGAACACCACAGAACACCCAAAATTTACCACAGAACTTCGAAATATTAATATGATGCAGGCATTACCTGTGAAAGGGGACGAAGTCTATATATTTTTTTTTTTTTTTTAATTCAAACATATTTTAAGTTCTAAATCTGTTAAAAAAGAAACGCAAATACCGTAACGTTTCCGATTTTGGTTCTGTTGTTAGGGATTTTAGTTGTGAGTTATTTTAGTTATGACGTCATATTCAATGTAAACAAAGAAACGCTATCATCTGGTAACGTTTTTTCATATCAAAGAATAATTAGAAATGAAATTGTTATTGTGTTCCTTCCTATATTTTACTGGACTGATAAATATATATTTCACTCAAAGTCTCATGACAAACGAGACCGGAAGAAGGAAGTAGATTTCTGCGCAAATGCGGGAATTAAAAAAAGTTACAAAAAAAAAGTTAACGATTTTGAGTTCATTGGTACAATGAAAATTTCGGGAAATTTTCCCGATTTTTTTTTTTTTTTTTTTTATGATTTTTCTACTGTTATAGGGGACTTCGTCCCCTTATTACCGTGTTATTGTTCATTCTTTTTGTAATTTGACATTTATTATTCAAATAAATTTAATTTTTATACGACCGCAAAAATTGAAAATTTTTTGGTCGTATATTGGTATGACGTCGGCGTCGTCGTCGTCGTCGTAGTCGTCGTCGTCGTCGTCGTCGTCTGGCGTCGTCCGGCGTCGTCCGAAGACACATTGGTTTTCGCACTCTAACTTTAGTTTAAGTGAATGGATCTCCATGAAATTTTACCATAAGGTTCAATACCACGAAAGGAAGGTGGGGATTGATTTTGGGGGTTATGGTACCAACAGTTAAGGAATTAGGGGCCAAAAAGGGGCCAAAAATAAGCATTTTTGTAACTTCCAGACAATAACTTGTGTGTAAGTGTATGGATCTCTCTGACATTGTACCACAAGGTTCCATATCACAAAGGGAAGGCTGTAATTGATTTTGGGGGTAATTGCCTCAAAATTTTAGGAATTAGGGGCCAAAAAAGGGGCAAAAAACAAGCATTTTTCTAGTTTCATGACAATAACTTGTGTGTAAGTGTTTGGATATTTCTGAAATTGTACTACAAGGTTCCATATCACAAAGGGAAAGCTGGAATTGAGTTTGGGGGTAATTGCCCGAAACGTTTAGGAATTGGGGGCCAAAAAGGGGCCAAAAATAAGCATTTTTCTAGTTTCCAGACAATTACTTGTGTTCAAGTGTATGGATCTCTCTGAAATTGTACTGCAAGGTACCATACCACAAAGGGAAGGCTGGGATTGAGTTTGGGGGTGATGAATCATAAGGGGGTTCAAAAAATTTGGGGGGGGGATTTTTTTTTTTCTTTTTTTTTCTTTTTTTCCTTTTTTTTTCTTTTTTTTTCTTTTTTTCCTTTTTTTTTTCTTTTAAAATTTTCCATTTTAAGTTGGTTATTTCTGATTAATATTTAAAAGCAAATAATAATGATATGGTAGGAGATACACACCAAACAGGATGTGTAAATTATTATATAATAAGTTTTGTGCAATAGCAAGAAATTTTCAATTGCACAGTATTGCACAATTGCAAGAAATCTTCAATTGCACAGTATTGCGCAATAGCAAGAAATCTTCAATTGCACAGTATTGCGCAATAGCAAGAAATATCCAATAGCACAATATTGCGCAATAGCAAGAAATTGTCAATTGTACAGTATTGCACAATAGCAAGAAATATTCAATTGCACAGTATTGTGCAAAAGAAGATACTTCGTATAAATTGCTTATTTCTTGATCAATTTCAATGGGGTTTTATTCTTGAATTCTTGGGGTTCTTTAATATGCTGAATCTAACCGTGTATTAAGTTTTTGGATTTTGGGCCCCGTTTTTAAATTGGTTCACATTGAGGTCCAAAGGGTCCAAAATTTAACTTTGTTTGATTTCATCAAAAATTGAATTATTGGGGTTCTTTGATATGCCGAATCTAACCGTGTATTTAGATTCTTAATTTTTGGTTCCGTTTTCAAATTGGTCTACATTAAGGTCAAAAGGGTCCAAAATTAAACTTAGTTTGATTTTAACAAAAATTGAATTTTTAGGGTACTTTGATATGCTGAATCTAAACATGTATTTAGATTTTTGATTATGGGCCCAGTTTTCAAGTTGGTCCAAATCGGGGTCCAAAATTAAACTTTGTTTGATTTCAACAAAAATTGAATATATGGGGTTCTTTGATATGCTGAATCTAACCATGTATTTAGATTTTTGATTTTTGGGCCCCGTTATCAACTTTGTCCACATTGAGGTCAAAAGGGTCCAAAATTAAACTTTGTTTGATTTCATCAAAAATTGAATTCTTGGGGTTCTTTGATATGCTGAATATAACCATGTATTTAGATTTTTTATTTGTGGACCCGCTATCAAATTGGTTCATATTGAGGTCAAAAGGGTCCAAAATTAAACTTTGTTTGATTTAATCAAAAATTGAATTATTGGGGTTCTTTGATATGCCAAATCTAACCGTGTATTTAGATTTTTAATTTTGGGTCCCGTTTTTAAATTGGTCTACATTAAGGTCCAAAGGGTCCAAAATTAAACTTAGTTTGATTTTAACAAAAATTGAATTCTTGGGGTTCTTTGATATGCTGAATCTAAACATGTGTTTAGATTTTTGATTATTGGCCCAGTTTTCAAGTTGGTCCAAGTTGGGGTCCAAAATTAAACTTTGTTTGATTTCAACAAAAATTGAATATATGGGGTTCTTTGATATGCTGAATCTAAACATGTATTTAGATTTTAGATTTTTGGCCCAGTTTTCAAGTTGGTCCAAATTGGGGTCCAAAATTAAACTTTGTTTGATTTCAACAAAAATTGAATATATGGGGTTCTTTGATATGCTGAATCTTACCATGTATTTAGATTTTTTATTTGTGGGCCCGCTATCAAATTGGTTCATATTGAGGTCAAAAGGGTCCAAAATTAAACTTTGTTTGATTTCATCAAAAATTTAATTATTGGGGTTCTTTGATATGCCAAATCTAACCGTGTATTTAGATTTTTAATTTTGGGTCCCGTTTTTTAAATTGGTCTACATTAAGGTCCAAAGGGTCCAAAATTAAACTTAGTTTGATTTTAACAAAAATTGAATTTTTGGGGTTCTTTGACATGCTGAATCTAAACATGTGTTTAGATTTTTGATTATGGGACCAGTTTTCAAGTTGGTCCAAGTTGGGGTCCAAAATTAAACTTTGTTTGATTTCAACAAAAATTGAATATATGGGGTTCTTTGATATGCTGAATCTTACCATGTATTTAGATTTTTTATTTTGTGGGCCTGCTATCAAATTGGTTCATATTGAGGTCAAAAGGGTCCAAAATTAAACTTTGTTTGATTTCATCAAAAATTGAATTATTGGGGTTCTTTGATATGCCAAATCTAACCGTGTTTTTAGATTTTTAATTTTGGGTCCCGTTTTTTAAATTGGTCTACATTAAGGTCCAAAGGGTCCAAAATTAAACTTAGTTTGATTTTAACAAAAATTGAATTCTTGGGGTACTTTGATATGCTGAATCTAAACATGTGTTTAGATTTTTGATTATGGGACCAGTTTTCAAGTTTGTCCAAGTTGGGGTCCAAAATTAAACTTTCTTTGATTTCAACAAAAATTGAATATATGGGGTTCTTTGATATGCTGAATCTAACCATGTATTTTGATTTTGGACATTGGACCATAATAGGTAAATTTAAAAAATTGAAGTTCTTAGACCACATTCTTTCTGTGTCAGAAACCTATGCTGTGTCAAATATTTAATCACAATCCAAATTAAGAGCTGTATCAAGCTTGAATGTTGTGTCCATACTTGCCCCAACTGTTCAGGGTTCGACCTCTGCGGTCGTATCAAGCTGCGCCCAGCGAAGCATTTTATTCTATTTAGGGTCGACTCACTATCGCTACGCCCCCAACTGAATGGCCAATAATTGGGATCATACCAAAAACCCCTAACTATTAAAACCATAATATACAAAGATTATTTATATTTTAAATACATTTTTATCATTTTTGTAATTTTAAATCATTTTTGAAAATGTTTAGATGCATTACGTAATTATTTGTTAAATTTATTTTGTTTACCAGTTTTTTTTTTTCACTTTTTTTTATTAATGTTATGTTACGAGTTGTTACAATAAATAATCAAAATGGTTAATGTGACATTTAATTAAATTTGTTGTCAACAAATAATTCAACTTTATTAAAGTAATTAGTTAAGCTGCTATCAAGAGTTGTTTCAAACAATTATTTAAACTTGGCTAATGCAGAGACATATATATGTGTATATATGTCTCTGGCTAATGTTTGTACATCAAAGTTTTCTCCATTAGAGTTATATATAAAACAATCATGTGTTAAGGGCTACCGGCAAATACTTTCTAAAAAGATATCTGAAGTTGTTGTAGGACAGTAATATTTGAGTTGACAAATAACATATTATAAGTGTGTCTTTTTAATTGTCAAAAAGTTCAAGTTCAATGACTGTTTTTGGATTCTTATGTTGTGTGTGTATCTTCTCCAATCATTTGACAATATTTCGGATTTTTACCAAATTTTGTATGCATTTAGAAATCGTTGAACTGAAACTTTATATCGAAAAAACTGGTACATGTATATGTAGCATTTACATATAGATTCTATACTTTTGAGTCCATAATTAATGTTGACCTTAGTAAGTTCACCGACACAATTAAAGTACCAAAATTTAATTAGATTAACCAATTTTGACACTTGTCGTAAACACCAATCAAGCCAATTAACATGTCATTTAAGTTTTCATACCTGAGACATCAAATAAATTTAATTAATATAATATATTATATTAAATAGAATGTTGATATCAGTCTCCCTGTTCTAACTATTGTCAAGTAATTTCAAGAATACAATTTTTATAATAAAAAAATTCATGATTAAAATATGAGCCGATGATCACCATCATTTTAGTTGAAAAATTAAAACTATTGTCTTATAGGTTTATTAATTTCACAGAAAAAATAGTTACATATGAGAAATATTAACTCTTCCTGCCAATCAAGTCAATATTATTCATAGCGTGATTCGCGACGGTAAAATCCGTCGGGTCAACTTTTTTTGTAGAATTTTTTTTTTACTATAAAGGTTATGTTTTCATATAAAATATTCATTATTCTCGCAGATTTCTTAATTAAATGAAAAAATGTTAAAAGAAAAAGCGATATTAGCATATTAGCACTTTCTGTCGATCAGATCAATATTATTCGTAGCGTAATATTCGCTGGTAAAATCCGTCAGATCAACTTTATTGTAGAAAAAAACATGTTTTATTTATATAAAGTTTTTATTGTTAAACAACATATTTAATAAAATCGCAGATTTCTTTATTTCACGAAAAAATATTGTAAAACAAAAGAGATTTTAACACTTTTTATCGATCAGTTCAATATATTCAAAGCGTATCTTGGATCATATTGATCGTGCGGTAATTTTTTTTTTGCTCATGTTTATTTTAGATTTTCATTATTATAATGCATTAGTTTAGTGTCTCAAAGCTCTCCAAATGTAAATATATGCCAAATAACAAAAAAGTTATATGATCATTTTTTATCTCATCCAGTCAATCGTCATGTCACTGGTGTAACCCGAATTAAAGAAATAATGTAATTCTGAATTATTAGATTTGCATTTTATAAAGTAATTCTAATGTTCTGTGGTATATTTCAGTAGTTTTATTGTAATGTGTGCAGTTCTAGGGTATATTTTGAGTGTTCTGTGGTATATTTTGAGTGTTCTGTGGTATTCTGTGGTGTTCTGTGGTAAAAAGACGCTCCGAAACCTGTCAGGTATCGGGTCCGTTTGCTCACATTACACTTTCGGACCCTACACGTTCGCCACCTGGGTTAGTTCACATCCATTTTTGTTTAAATACAGATTAAATTAATATGAGGCAGGTGTTACCTTGGATCCTCAATTGATATTATTGATTGATTGTTGGTTTCTTATCCAGGTTGGGAACAACCCCTCAGATGAGGGTTAACCCCTCATTGTAATGACTATTCCTTTTATGAGGGGTACATTTCAAGTGATGAAAAATATTTTTTTGTAAAAACCACTTCTTAGTACAAAAGGGCACATATTCATATTATTTGAAGAAACTTTTCCCAAAGAACTATACATCTATCTGGTATTGTATGGTCAAAACATGTCAAAGGATTTGTTATTTTTATGGACTTGTATCCTCTTTATTATTAAAAATAAGTGGACCCCTCTTATAGAAATTTTTTTCAAAATATAATGAATTTTTCCCCTTTTAAGTTAAAAAAGCTAAGTTTTTCTTATTTCTTTTCTACAACAGCAAAATGATCCCTTGTCCGGGGGATAGTCCCTCATTTAAGGGATATACCTCATTTAGGGGGTTGTTCACAACCTGTTAACGTCCAGTGGCAATTGTGTTTTACCAGGGAAAGGAAATGCAGTCTGTATCAATTGTTTTTTTTAATTCAAAATAGAATTGAAAATGGAAATGGGGAATATGTCAAAGAGACAACAACCCGACCAATGAGCAGAAAACAGCCGAAGGCCACCAATGGGTCTTCAACACAGCGAGAAAATCCCACACCCGGAGGCAGGCTTCAGCTGGCCCCTAAATAAAAATGTGTACTAGTTCAGTGAAAATGGATGTCATACTAAACTCCAAAACATATAAATGAACTAAAATTTAAAAAACATACAAGACTAACAAAGGCCAGAGGCTCCTCACTTGGGATAGGCGCAAATATGAGGCGGGGTTAAACATGTTTCGTGAGATCTCACCCCTCCCCTTATACCTCTGGCCAATGTAGAATAAAGAAACACACAGCAATACGCACAGTAAAACTCAGTTTAAAAGAAGTCTTGAGTCCGATGTCAGAATAGGTAACAAAAAAACTAAGCAAAATGACAATGATACATAAATTAACAAAGGACTACTAGCAGTTACTGACATGCCAGCTCCAGACTTCAATTAAACTGATTGAAAGATTATGTCTTCATCATATGAAAATCAAGCACAATCCCTCCTGTTAGGGGTTTAGTATCATACCATCAATTAAATATACGAGAAGAACATAACCCGTATCATGCCAACAACTGGTTTTAGAACAAATGTGTTTATTTCTGATGCAAATTAAAGACCTTATGAGTGAATCAATATTAATACCAAAATATGCCATCCTTAATGACCTGACAACAGTATCGTAACTATATCCCTTCTGAATAAGTCTGTTTAAAGGTTTGGATAGCTTTTGAGGTGAATGCCAACATTTTGTGCTTTGTAAAGAATATTACCATAAAAGATTACATTTGTAGATGTGAAATACCTGAATGTATAAGATGTCTGCATGTTGATTTATATTTACGAATAATGTCCTTGTACCAATGATGAAATTTAGTAAATGTTTTGACTAGTTTGTGATAACGAAAAATATGAATATCTGAGCATATATTTCATTGATAAATTTCTGAAAATGTTCATGGATAGGATGTTTAGAATGTTATGAGCAATGCACTATATTTTCTGAATATCAAAAGTAGTGATAAACCTTGGAAGATTTAGATATCAAGTCAGTACCATAGGGTTTTGATTGCATTTCATGCAATCTTTACCCAAAAACCACTAGATATATACAAGTTAATGCATTTTGTGTTTCAGACAGTCAAAATCTTTTTTGGGATTTTATTGGCATTTGAGTTTATGTGATACTAGGTCTGTGTGAAGACATTGATATTAAAAAGACTCAACATTCAATCTTTATATTAGGTAAAGCAGGTGAGACATTTCAGCGTGTAATCTCAAGACTCGACTTTTCGATATCAATCAGTTAAATTACAAAAAATTCATAATATGATAGCAAGCCTGATAAAGTGCTTAACCTTGTGTCGTGATTGGTCATCTTGCCATCATACATTCTAATTTCTATCTTCATTTATTTTAGACCAAGGTTTAGCAGAGTTATTATCTGTTAAACAAACTGATAGAAAGTCAGCCACACCTCCAAACATCTGTAAGATGCTTCCAAGTTCAGGTTAGTACTATTTGCTATTCAAGGGTAAGTGTATGTATGTATATACATGTATGTGTTGAAATGTTTGGCAATGTAAATGATTACCATATAAAAAAGAATCCATTTGAAAAAAAAGGAGATGCTGGTTGTACATGTATGTTAATTAATGAACCAAGAATCTATGGAAATATAAAATCAATCATGCCTGTCAACTGACCCGTATTTTGAAGGTCACACCGATGAATTTCCCTTCTCACCTGGGTTTTTTTAAATACCTGACGGGTTATCAAATAACCTGTGAAATTCAGAAAGTGACCCGTTTTTCACACGTATTTCTGACAGACATTGATTCTGGTATTTAGGGATCATAGATTTATTCTTACGAGGAAGTATTTTAAGTTGGCTCTATTCAGCTGTGACAATAATTATCATGATCCATTGAGATGTCAATCAAATCTATAGCACTTCTATAATACAGTAATAAGGAAAGTAGAGCATTATAGAGGAAGCTCAATTAACACCTGTGTAAACATTTGGTCTATTCAAATAAATCTTGCATTAATTTTACAAAACTATAAAATAGATGAGAAATTCTTCAATATTACTGTACAATGCTTGGAAAGAAATCTCAAGCCTTCACGTACAGAATAGAAAATGTTTTCAGACATTTTCTTAATAATTATCATCCTTTTTCAATACACATGATACAAAAGAAAAATACTCAAATTTTATATTTAAAATATAAATATATTTTTAATTTATACTATATAAAATGAAATATAAAAGTCATCAAAGACACAAACTATGGTTATTGATTTATAACCATACTACCAAAACATAGTACATTCAGTTTCATGCGAAAATGGGTTGATTTTTTTTATGTTCTATTTAATTTGACAGTTGTTGGAAATTAACCCTCCATTTCGTTTCAGAAAAGTTTTTTTGAGTCATAAACATGTATCTTGGATGTTTCAAAACAATAAAAAAATTCTTTTTTGTAAACAGGGAAAAAAGGGAGAGAGAATTTGATTGGTTAACTTCTGGTGATGTTTACTTTCTTATATGCACTGAAAAGTTAAGTTGTATTTTTACTGTAGTACAGGACAGAATAAAACTTTACTCATGTCAAGTATTTCTTTATTTAAAACATATAGATAAATTCTGCACATTTTTTTTTGAAAAATACCAATTAAACAAAGCCTTATTGGGGAAAAACAATTTTACTGTAGTACTAGATAGGATAAAACTTTACTCATGCCAAGTGAAACAGTGAAACCCTGTGGCATGCAACTTATAAGAAGGTTTCCTTTATTTTTCTTGAGAGTAACACACCAGCTTCATTTGAACCTATTATATAGAGACTTATTTTGATCTCATAAAACATCTCAAATTTTAAGGATTTCCTGATTTTACTTAAATCAACCCAAATATTTTACTGGGAAACTTGGTTTTGAAGAATATCTTATTTTCAGAAGTTTTATGAATACCTGAACATACTCTCAAAAGAACCAATTTATATAAAAAGAAATGTATATATAAAAAAATACTAGGATTAACATGTTGTATGCCAGATGCGAGTTAAGTCTAGTTAAAATAATTAAAAAGGCCAAATAAAGTACGAACTTAAGTAATCTATTCCTTGGATAGAAAATCCTTGGCATTTGAAAATGTCAAAGTTTATGAAAGGAAAGTAACTCAAAAAAGAAAACAAAAGAGAAACAGCTAGAGGTCAGAATACCGTAAGCAAAGATGACCGTGCTTGAAAGTCACATGGCAAGCTCTTATTGTCGTGTCCTGAATTTATATAAGAAAAGCGAAAATTCGCATTTGCGAGTGAAATGAATATTTATGCCTGAACGTGGTATTTTTGCGCAAGAAATAGTAAATAGAAAGCATATGCACTGATACTCTGGATAAGAATAAGCATTTTGGTCATCACATATATCAATATAGTAGTTGAATTCGGATGTCAAACTACCTACTTCAAGTGTTTTGACTCCCGATTCATTGACATTTTATCCAGATTTTTTGTGAACTCAAACCGATAGTGTGCGTGTAAACAGAGTGGTGTATAATGTGAACGAATCAAGACGTGTAGGATAGCTGACCAACACAATGAATACAATTTTCAAAACCGTACCATAGTACAAATATTTAGATGCTATAAGGTTGAACTAATAAAAGAAAAAAAATTTTTTAAAAAATTAACATTATGATAGTAATTAAATTTTGTTATGATTATTGTAAAATGTTAATTACGTTTTTTGTGAGATGCAAGGATTTAAAATCCTTGTTAATTGAAACCATGAATTTCAAAGTATTTTTTTCATTCACGACCGTTTAAATTTAGATATTTAGCTAACTTTGGGTACGCATCCCTGCTCATTGGTGCTCATACGTTACATATAATTTTCATAAATGTAATGACTGATCAAACCTGTGAGACATAATGCATGTATACATTACAATTTTAATTATATTCTAAAATTACTAGGAATAAATTCAGTCTCAGTTTTACCTTAACAATGAATATTCTCTTAGTCTGGTAGTATCTATATATATCATGTCTATTAATGAAATTAGATATTTTTTTACAGAAAAATCCTTTTGTTTGATTATCTTTCTGCTTTCCGACCTTTGATAAATATTTTTAACAGAAATATCGTTTTCTTAATTTTTCTTCATTCTTTTCGACATTATCTCATGCTATGATTGAAATACTAAATATCAAATGATACACGTTCAGAAATAATCAGTTTATTTTGGGTCATTGTATATCAATAAACTATTCCCAGGTTTATTGAATACAACACACACAACGCGTAGATGGACCGTCTCAAAGCATGAATTATATAATTGCGTTATCATTATACTTGATATTTAATAAACATTCACATTATTAAAAACATATATGTTTTGTCAAAAGGCAAATATGTTATAACATATAAATGATTTTTAGAATGCAACCTAGTCTTTATTGTTTTACTTTCAAATTTACAAATGAACCGTTTGTTGGATTGTTGAAATATACAATGTCACGTTGTAGCCTATCCATAGACTTATAACTTATGTCTACCTATATAAATGCTGGAAAATTCTCGAGACGTTCCGAGAATTGTGATTCCAAGCGTAATGAGTGGCCCATAGACACTTCCAAAACTCGCCAATATAGGTTCACGCAAGAATTACATATGTTCCTTAAATAATTGTAAGTACTAAGTTTTTCGAAGATGTATAAAATAATTTATAAAAGTAATATTTTTGTCATTATTTTTAAAGTAACCTCTCTATACACATCTCAAGTTGGATAAATACTTGATTTTATTTAATTTAATGATATAAAAATTCTTAAAAACTACATTGAGTTATTGAATAATTTTTAAAAACAACAAATACCTATAAGAGTAAATAAAAAAAGATAACTTTTAGTATCGCCCCCTGACTGGTGTTTGTGTCTTGATATCTTTTATGTAGCATATTATATAATATAAACTATATTAAAATCATATTTAAATCATATCATCTAATTATAAAATTTGAGAATTTTTTTATTTAAAAAGGAATGATTATTAAATAATATTAGAAAATATTTAAATGACTTTTACTTTTTGTGGAGACTTGAGATTTCTTTCCAAGCATTACACAGTATTGATGAAGAATTTCTAATCTATTTCATAGTTTTGTAAAATTTCAGGCAAAATGTATTTGAATTCACCAAATGTTTACACAGGTGTTAATTGAGCTTCCTCTATAATGCTTTACTTTCCTTATTATAGAAGTGGTGTAGATTTGATTGACATCATAATGGATCATGATAATTATTGTCGCATAAACTGCTGAGAAGAGCCTACTTAAATAGCTCCGAGCATCCTCTTAGCATGCTCGGAGCTTCCTCGTAAGAATAAATCTATGACCCCTTAGAAGTGACATATACATTCGGTTTTATCAGCTTTTTTCCTTTCATAAAGAAAACAATTGAAAAGTAAAAACTTAGGATTTGCTATTTTACCTTGCTCTTAATTTGATAAATACAGCTATCAAAACATATTTTGACACACCGTTGATTGAAAAGTAACAATTCATGTACTATCTCTTTAATTGTACCCCAGAAAGTTGAAGCCAGTCAAGCTTGACATACAATTCTATGTCCTGATTATAAGATTTGCTATTTGCAAATATCAACTTTCCTATAAAAATCTTTTTGAAACAATTTGAACCTCTTAAATTAATACATTTCTGTTGGAGAGATACAAGTTCCTTACAAACTATTTTAAACCATTTAATTTTGTTATCACTTAAATGTAAAAGCTTTGAGTGAAATCCTTATGCTCTAGATATTGCACTGAAAGTAAACACACTTTCTTCTTCTTTCTCTTATCATTCTCCTGTGTAAAGGAGCACATTAGCCATAACTGATTTCTAATTTTAGCTGAGGTTTATGAAATTCATTTATAAAAAGTAGTGGGAATAAAACAATTAAGGGCATTGCTTTAGAAAGATATTTGATTAATAATAAATATATTTAACAAATACAATAGTGAATATTTGTAGGAAACTGGTGTATGTTATAGTATGTATTATAATAAAAAAAAACTCTAAATACTAAAATTCAACTGAAAAAATTTGTACGCTTTATGACCTGACATTTTCTTCATCAATGCAAGTCATTACCTGCATTTTAATTTTCAGAGGTTGACAGACATGATCAAATGACATCTAGAATCTAAAGTGTCAAGCCTTAAATTGCCTCAACTCAACAACAAAAAATAAGTGAGAGAATTAAATGTTTATACGTGTAGATGAACAAAACTCAGTCATCAACACAAAACTCTTCAAATAATAAAGAAATTAGGACATGTCTTGAGATTTTTTTTTTTTGGCTGTTAGGAAATAATATATTTGTACTTAGAGCTTCTAAGATTGTTATTACATGTAGATACAATGTTTTGCTGTAGCTAGGTCAAGAAAACTTTGTATAAACAGAAATGTCATTCTAAGATTTAATGAAAAAAACATATACCATTTCTTACCTTTACATCTAAATTTGATTACAGTTTTATCAAGTGTGAAACAGTTTCTTCCTTTGATGAAAGACGCAAACAGTGAACTTGACAGTATTCCTGCTGATGATCTTGACATTGAATGTATATCTAATAAAAATGATCAAGTTATAGAAATGGTAAGAAATTCATTTTTCATTCTTTAGACAATCTTGCATAAATTTTCAACAGATTTATTATGAAACGAACGGTCCAATTTAGTTTAAATGTGTGCTCCATGATATACAATGTAAATGTGCCTGAAAATTTTTTTTTTCATTAAAAAGTCGACTAACAAAAAAAACAGGTTTGTACTGAACCTTTATGATTCTCCATAGGGATAAAATATTGATCTACTAGACCACTACAATACTATAAAACTCTTTGGAGAAATTCCAAACATATCTTTTCTATCAGCTTGTGAATATTGCTGTTTCTATTGAAACAAATGGTGTAAGCACAAAAAAAAAAGTGACCTCACTACTCAAGTGCAGTTATTGTCAGATATGCCATATTTATGTGAGATGAGTGGTTCGGTCTCATTGGAGTCTCTTGTCCTTTAATAATGTTTTGAACTTGTATTTTTTTTCACAGAACATTGCATTATTTGAACAGAGCTCAGGAGATGATGATTCAGAAGATAGTAGTGAATCATCTGAGGAGGAATTTTATGGTTCAGAAGTGACGGAAGAGAATTTTAGAATAATAAAAACAAATACCAAAAAGCCACATATAGAGGAGATGGACAATAATGATAACCCTCCTGGATGACAGAAGAACATGATGTGTGATAACTTTCATCGCTCCTGTGAAGACTTTTATGTGGTCACCTTAGAACATTTTGTCAGAATGTATAGAATTCATTGTTCTCATCAATCTTTCTGTGATCATGCATAATTTGTGATATATAAGTTTAGTATTTAAAGGAAATATATCACAGAAATAAGTCAACTTTTTTTAAATTTGCACTATTGGTTACAGCCACCAATTTAAAATATACTATAAGAATAGCTAGCTTTGTGTACAAGTGCTTATCATGTCTCATAAGTTTTGTAATCTCAACTTAGCAAGTAAATGTTGGTTAATACAAGTCTTTATAGTCTTCATTGTATATCTGTATGCCCTGCCTGCAGTAGTAGGAGAAAAATATATTTTCTGGTCTTTGTCCAGATCTGTTAGTCCATCTGTTTGTCCATTAGTCCATCCCATAAAGTTTTTGGTTAGGGTAGCTGTAAAGAATTAAGTTCTTTGGATTGTCAAGTGGCCAATGTTATACAAAACTAAATTTAAATATAAATTTAATAAACAAAACAAAAGTAAAGTAAATTCAACATAAATGAAATAATGAAATGAATACATGCAAATGTAACTAAATAAAGACTCACAAAACAGAACTAAATATAATGTTATGAAATAAACAAAATGAAACTAAACAATTACAGTCCGCACACCTCCATCAACTCTGCACACTTCCCGGTAAAGGTTGAACGTCGCACCTACTGTAGAATAACTTTGGGTTGTTCCCCTTGAATTTCTTTTAATATAAAACGGACAGAAAATAACTATTTTCACACATTTTTGGTTGATTCTAAATTGATGAAAAGAACACTAAATTTTATACTTTTACTGCAATGATAACTTCAATGAGCAATGACGACTTGAAACTGCATAATACTGCATGGACTGCTCGATTCGTTTAACATATATTTAAACGGACTTCTTTGTATATTTATAATGGATACTTTCACCAACTCCAGGCGTTGTAATTGATATCAGCAAACATCGAGTTGTAACCATATTACTAATAATACCATTTGTATCTCTGACACCATATATCAAAGACCAGTCGACGGTATTTACTACGTGCTATACGCACACCAAAACCGGGCCAAAAATCCACTGCAAAATAAATATTGAACCCAAAAATTACTTACTTTATCTATACATTTGCATGATATAGCTATTATTGGGACATTCTGGACCGCGAGTAAGAAATATCATCTCGACAGCAAAATAGACCCCAATGAACGATATAAATAAGTAAAAATGTCTTACCTGAGTGTTGTAATAATAAGTCTTGGGATATCCATGTCCTAAACTGACAATTATAATACCCAACTGCTATTTTTACCAACTCTAGACTCAGCACAAGCGTGTGCTTAACTCAATGGCCATGTGTCGACTGATTTGAAACTTACCTTTGAAATTTAAATAGGTGCCTAATCATGTGATACACATGAAAGGTCTGCTTGACTACATAGTCCGGTGTTAGCGAAAATAAGCCCTAACATAAAATATAGTCCTAAGTGAAATAGATATATATAAATAAATAAATGGAGTTTGTTACAGTAGCTTATCATGAAGTTTGGTTCACATCAACTTGAAATTTAGTACACATGCTCATTTTGATGGGAACTTTTAAAATAATATACCAAATTAAGGTTTCGACCCCAGTTTCATGGTTTCATGGTTCATTGAACATACAAATGTGATAGTGTGAAGTTAGTTAATTCTCATGTTTAACTAAAGTTTTTGTTAAGTTAGTTTAACATGAAGTTATGGGGACATCAACCTTTGTCAACTTGAGACTCAGTACACATACTCATTGAGAGACAAACTGTTTAGACTTTATACCAAATTACCATTTTGATATAAATATGTAATGAAATCATAAATCACAATGTATGATTTTTTTTTAAATCATCTTAATACTTTATGAAATCTATTATCCTGTATATTGATAACTGGATTAACAATAAAACATTCCAATTTTACATAATTAATTAGCACAGAGACATCTTGTTTATCACCTTGCAGCAAAATCTAAAGTAAGCATAATTCACACTGTATAGGTGTATAAAACAAATAAAATTAAGAATGGAAATGAGGAATGCGTCAAAGAGATATCACCCAACCAAAGAGCAGAAAGCAGCCCAAGGCAACCAATTGGTATTCAACACAATGAGAAAATCCTGCACCCAGAGGTGTGCTTCAGCTGGCCCCTAAACAATAATGTATACTAGTTCAGAGAAAATGGATGTCACACTAAACTCTGAAACATATATATATAAATGAACCAAAAACATACAAGACTAACAAAGGTCAAAGGTTCCTGACTTGGGACAGGTGCAAAAATGTGGCGGGGTTGATAGATATAAGAATATGTGGTATGAGTGCCAATGAGACAACTCTCCGTCCAAGTCACAATTTATTAAAGTAACATGTTTTGTGAGATCTCAACCCTCCCCCTATACCTCTAGCCAATGTGGAATAAACAAACACACAGCAATATTTTCAGTAAAATTCAGTTCAAAAGAATTCTGAATCCGATGCTAGAATAGGTAACAGAAAAAACTAAACAAAATGACAATAATCAATATACATTAAACAATTGTACACAGATCAAAGTTTAAGATTAAGTTCAATATTTATAAGTAAGGTTGTGAGGACCTAATTGTGAACATGTCAATCAATAACATTCAAGGCTTGGTCATATTTCAAATGAAGTGCAGATTAAAATATAGTGAAATGCAAATTTAGTGTATACTAGTCATACTAGTAACCTGCAGACCTGAACAATACCAAATGATCTAGAAAAGGATGTAACAATAATCTTTAATACATTTAATCATATATTAACTATGCATTTGTAAAGTTCTGAAGACGTATGGTCTGGGTTGAAAGATCATCTGAGTAACTGGTTAGGCAAAAATGTTTGATTATGATGAGAATTCAATAAGTTACCATTTATTTGGGCTTTTACTTATTTGTTTTGTTTTTTACCAATTTAGCTTAAAAGAAAAACAGCGAAATAATGAGTAACAAGGTCACCTCTCTTATCCAGTCATTGTATGATCAGTGCAGTAAATGATTACTCTGAAATATGGTCACCTCCCAAACATGGACAAACATTAGTCAGTCTAGTCTGTTTCCTACCTAAAGCCTTTTAACATCGTGGTAATGTGACACTATATTGTTTGAATGTGAAATACTGCCACTTCATTTATTTTGGTTTGGTACCAATTTTCATGGATTGAGAAAAAAAATAATTTTCATGGATTTTTGATTTCGTAATTTTCCAAAATAATGCATTCAAGCCTACAGAAAATATGGTACACAGTAATTCATTGAACATTTAAATTGGTGGTTCACCCGTATTCACAAAAATTGGTATCCCAAGAATAATAATGAATCCACAGTAACTGGAATTATTTCCCTTTACATTTTGCAATAATTTCTCCAAAAAGTTGATATTAAAAAATTCTTACTTTGAGAGGATGTCACACATGTTTGAAATCTGCCTTGTATGCAGTTACACAATGTATGAAGACCAGATGTAGGGGGGAAGGGGGAGATAAGTCTTTTAACATCTAAAAGTTTCTTGTTATTATTCAAAGGAGTCCAATACTTAGGCATCTTATTGGATTATTAAGCATTATAAAACTTAAACTTATATCAAATTTTAGTTTTGTGTCATCTATATTCTTTCATGAGAGTCATTTCTTCCTTATTTTCAAGTTCTAGCAAAAAAAATATGTCAACTATTTTTATCATGTCGTAATAAAGTGTATTTTTTCACAATTCCTGCTTGAACTAAATTCTGAAGGCATAGAATTGTATGACATTTCAGATTTTTTTTCTATCACATTGATGTCAACATGTGTAATAAAACCTGATGGTACACAAACTGGACAAAGTATTATGTGAGTAATGATATCAGAGTAAAAGAAAGGAATTATATACTGTTGCAGGCTTGTCAGTGTGATAGTACAATTTATGCAAAAATAATTAACATTATTAATTAGATATTTGAAAGGTTTATTTTAACATTGTGAGATTGCTATGTGTTGCACAACATAGTCCATCAAATTATAGTAAGACCATCTATCTGCAATAAACAGACATCAACCAACTAAACTAAACGACTATAGGCTCTTGGAATGGAACATATATAAAAGAACATTTGCACTTTAGATTGAAAATCATAATATATAAAAAGAAACTGTAAACAGGAAAAACCAACAGCAATACAAGATCTACAGAAATATGTAAAACTAGTATAATAAATTAACCTCTTAAAGCCAGTGGTAATACTTATCCAAGTCATGGACATAAGCATGGTTTTGTCCCAGGTGGTACAAAACTTTTTTCAAGATGCCACATCTGATATAAATGTGAAATATAAATTTTATTGAAATGTTCTGCTTATTTTTGTCATGTTTATTTACTTTAAAGATGTAAGTAATATTTCTTGTGTAAGCAAATTTGTAAGATTTTCTTTTCAAGGTTTGACTAGTCTCCCTTAATCTTCTCCAAAAATGTACTTATACAAGTAAAAAAAAATTACAACCCCTTAAGTGCACAAGTTTTGGGAGGTCAAAACGCCTAATTTTTTGTCTGGTTTGCTAATAATTTGTGCTTGAACACCCTGAGGGGTTCAAGCCTATATATGTGAGTTTTGGAAGCTTCTATGGGCCATTCGATATCATCGGAAACAAGATTCTCGGAACGTCTCGAAAATTTTCAATCATTTATATAGGTAGTTATCTATGTCCGATACGTTCCCTCTATTGATATGTTACCACGTGACATTGTATTGATATTTCGAAATTCGACAATCAAATTAAAGTTCATTTGTAGATCGGAAAGTAAAAAAAATAAAGAATAGATTACAGTAAGAAAGCCATTTATATATTCCTACTTATTTGCTTTTGACAGAACATATGCGTTTTTATTTGAAAGTATTAAATATGAAGTATAAAGATATTGCAGTTATTATTTATGTCTTGAGACGGTCCCTGTGCGCGTTGTTTGTGTAGTATAAAATACAACGCGATATTGTGCATTGTGACAGTAAACATGGGAATGATATATTGACATTAAACTATGTCCCAGAATAAACTAATTATTTATGAACATTAGCATGTCATATTTGTAATTCCATCATGTCGGAAAGCAAGAAGAAAATGAACAAAACGATATTACTGTTAACAATATTTATCTTAGGGTTGAAACACAGTAGTCGGAAAACAGAAAGATAATTACACAATATTCTGTCTAAAATAGTTATTTTTATTAATGGATACTAACAGACC